AATAGTCTATGAGTGATTTTGTTCTGTAAGGTCAACAAAGGTATAAAATTCTTTTTGAATTTTTCCGGGTGTTGCTTCGTTAGTTTGTTCGTCTAGTACTGGATCGTCTGTTGTATCGGGGTTGTCTTCGGAATCTGAGATTTCTATAGGGTCTTCAATATGATGGATTCTTGTTTGAAATTTTGCGCATTGATCGAAATGATTGATTTTTATACGAGAGAGTGCGTCTGCATTTTTATTAGTTTTGCCTGGTTTGAAAATTATCTCATAATCGTATTCTTCAATGTTCAAGTGTCATCGAGCTGACCTGCTACCAGGGTCTTCAATTGAAAAGAGCCAGGTCAGGACGCGATGATCTGTAACCAATTTGAATTCGTGTCCGAAAAGATATGGGCGAAAGTGCTTTACTGCCCATACAATTGCCAAAAGTTCTCTCTCTATCGTAATGTACTTTGTTCCGGCTGCACACAAGGTTCTTGATACATAAGCAATCGGAAGATTTTTTCCTATTGGTCCTTGAGATAGGACTGCGCCTATCGCAAATGCACCAGTGTCGGTTGTTAGAAGAAAAGGCTCGTCATAATTTGGGTAGATTAATATTGGAAATGTAGTAAGTGCTTTTTTAAGTGTTTCGAAAGAGTTTATACAGTTTGCGTTGGAATTGAAAGGGATGTCTTTTTGTAAAAGTCTTGTCAAGGGTTTCGAATTTTTTGCGAAATTTGGGATTAATCGCCTATAGTAGCTGGAAAGGTCAAGGAAAGATTTGATGTCTTTCGGATTTTTGGGTTGATGAAAATTTCTTATACACTCGACTTTAGAGGGGTTTGGCTTCAAGCCATCTTGGGTGATGAGATGTTCTAAATATCCAACTTTCTTGCGAAGGAACTCACATTCGTCGGGTTGTATTTTCAGATTTGCTTTCCGTGAACGTTTGAAAACTTCTGTAATCCGGGTGATATGTTGATGAATAGTAGGGGAATAGACGATGATATCGTCCATGTAGACAAGGCAACGTTCATTCTGAATTCCCATCAAGATGTTGTCCATTACGCGTTGAAAGGTGGAAGGGGCGTTCTTCAATCCAAATGGCATACGAACGAATTCATAATGCCCATTTTCCACAGAAAATGCGGTTTTCTGGATATCTTTGGGATCAACCTCGATTTGGTGGAATCCGGAAGCCAAATCGAGGGTGGTGAAATATTGGCACTTGCCTAATTGGTCGAGAAGATCGGAGATGTTCGGAAGTGGATACTTGTCGTCGCTAGTCACTTCATTCAGTTTTCGGTAGTCGATGACTATTCGCCACTTCTGTTTACCAGAAGCATCAAGCTTCTTTGGTACGACCCAAACGGGGGATGACCATCGTGAAACTGAAGGCTGAATGATACCTTGATCGAGCATTTTCGATATTCGTGTCTTTACCTCTTCTTTATGTACTTGAGGGTACCGATAAGATTTGGTAAATGTAGGTCTACTGTCTTTTGTATCGATAGGGTGTTTAATTTCGTTTGTGAACGTCAGGTTGTCACCTTCAAGATAGAAAATGTCTGAGAAATCTAAACAAAGTTCTTTTCTGAGATTTTGTTCTTCTTCGTTGAGATTAGTTTCTATTTTGGAATTGTCGGTCAATTGGTACATCTGTATCTGATATTTGCATGGCCAAGTTATTTACTGAGGAATTTTGAAATGGTTCTAACACAAGATCGAAAAAATCTACTGTTTCTGGAATAGCATCAACGTTCAAAACAAAAGTTAGAAATTCTCCATTTTTGTCAATTTTGACAATTGAATTTGGTATTTTGACTTCTTTGTTATCCTGATCTATCAGTATAGCGTCGGTATTTGAAGAGTTGCATTCCAACTTGAACACTTGTTCGGTTCGAGGTTCGATATTTATTACATTATGATATTCTCTAGAGGGTGATGTATCAACTGAAGGTTGAGTATTTTCGTCGTCGGTTACCTTAAAAACAGGGACAGTTCTGAAGTCAGTGATCAGTTTTTTATTTTTGAGGTCTACTATGCAATTATAATGTTCCAGAAAATCAGAGCCAAGGAGTCCGTCAGATTCTATATCTAAGTTGTGAATGTAAATTTTATGTGGGTCTTCAGGTTTGAATGGAATTGAAGTTGATTCGTTTATAATTATTTTCTGGTCGGTTATGCCTTGAATGGTAATATTTTCTGGAGAACGTTTTCGGTATTTTTCGCAAGTCTTTGGTTTGAAAACCGAAAGTCCTGCACCAGTATCTATTAGAATTTTGAAGGTATTAGTGATGTCTTTGATATAGTATGAGTTTTTCGAATTAACAGGCAATAGAGATTTCAAATGAACCGTTGTTCCGGGAAATTCACATTCGGATCGAAACTGTCTAGGTTCATTGTTTGGATTTGGGCTTGAAGTTCGTCCATAGTATTCTGTTGTCCTGAATATCTGAATTCTGGGGTAGATTGTCATAGTCCGGGTACTGTGTCGAAAATCGATCATATTCAAATTATCTTCCAGCGGTATGATAATCAAATTGTTGGATTCTGCTATCAGCAGTATGATAGACTTGATCGTAATTTTGATTTTCACTAGCTGTATAGTGATCATCTTGATAAAAATCATTCTCATAATATTGGTCATATTGTTGGTAATTCAAATGGTGTGTCTGTCGATTATTTGATCCGTTAAAATTTGGATTCGATTGAATGGTAGGTTGTCTTTGATTGTTGAAGTTCGGGTTAGGTCTTATGATTGATGGTCGGTTTTGTTGAAATTGATTGGGTGGTTGATATTGATTGAATTGAGGAGGTCGCTGTACTGGATTTGGGGTTTGGAATGGTCTTGAAGGCCCAGCTTGATTGAAATTCTGTTGGTTTGGCCTTGGAGAGTATCGTGGTCTATTTTGGGAATTCTGTTTTGCGCGGCATTCATGATACAAATGTCCGGTACGTCCACGATATGAATATTCTTTTATTTGTTGGGATGAAATTGGTTTTCGAACTGAAACTGCATTAGGATTTCGGTAGCTTTGCGAATCAGGCAATTTTCGATGAAATGAAAATAACTCAACTGCATTTCTCGTCTGATACGAAAAATTGCGGTTAACATATCAGTTGGGGTGCCTGCTCGAATTATTTGACCAAGTTTTGGATCTAATCCAGTCAACAGAGTGTTCAAACTCATAGTTTCTATAAGCCTGGACTGCGCGCCTCTTTGGTCTGGTGGCAAAATTTGTTTATCTACAGCGGCGTGCATTTTGGCATTATGCGTTTGTAATCGTTGAACGAATGTCATTGCATCATTGCCAGGAAATTGACGAATTCTTTGGAGATCTTGAATTAATGTAGTCAAGTCTCTGGAATCGCCAAAGTGGGTATCTAAAAGGTGTCTAAATTCTTCCCAAGTAAGTGGATTTCTCGAATTCCCTAGCTCTGCAGCACGTCCACGTAATTCATTTTTTATGTGAAGTGTTACTAGTAGTCGTTGTTCGTCGACTGCCATTCTGTAAGCGGTATTACAGGCTTGTAAAAAGGTAGTTGAAAATATTGGATTGCCATCATATTGCGGTATGATGGAAAATATTTCATTGAGTCTGTATGGCTCAATTTCTGCAGGTGGTCATGGTGGTGCCACGTTTACGTTATCGCCATTCATTGCTATCGGTTTTTGTTGAAATGTGAAAAAAAAAGGGAAACGATTGGATAATGGAACAGTTACTTGGTTGTTTCAAATTTGAAATGCGGTACTATTCAATATAGTACTTACAGGATGAGTATCATTGAGTTCGTCTTGTTCTCGTCGATTCTGCCAGGGGCTTCACCAGGTGTTCCTTCCACAGCTCTTCGAGTGATGACTCCCTCAGGTTGGTTCTTTGATTTCGGTAAAGGATGGGGATCAACCGTCACTAGTTAGGTCGTTTCCGTGTTCTAGCAACGTCACAAAATCCGTACGACTGCGTCAATTTGTTATCTTGTGGTTTTAGAGATAGACTTTTTGAAAAACAATTTCATTCATTCCGGCATAGATTAAGTTTATACAATGAGCTTTATTTCAAGACTGACTTTTTAATACAATATGAAATGAATTTATATCAAAAATAATGCTGATGCCAGCGTCAGCAGATATTATATATTCCATTTCTGCGGATGCTGACTTCAAGGTCAATATCATGTTCTGAGGAACTGTTATCTCTGGTAAGTTGAAACTACTGAGAACAATGAGAACTGATTTTAGCATATAACATATGAGCTTGGACACTACTGACTAAGAAATGGAGAATTCTTATATCAATAAATTTTTCTTATCACCAAGTTTATAAATAAGTCATAATTTTGATTCGAAGCATCTATCATCTAAATAATCGAATTCCTTTTATGTGTGTGTATTTTCAGTGTCAATAGGAGCTATTTTCCATTTCAACGTCAGAGATTCCAAAAACACATGTATATATATAAGTATGTTGTATTTTCCTGAGATTACACAGTGTTATTCTTATGTACGTGTCGAAAATTCGGCAGCATGTTGCTAACATCAGAATCTCAAAAATAGTTTGTATGACCATATGGCCGATCACTAAGATACAGAGTGTCTAATTGTGATTATTTCGGATTGTTGTGAATGAATTTCAGAATGATCGTGATGTTCGAGTGATATACCAAATTCCACTCGAATATCACGTTCTTGGAATTTTACACAAGGAAACAGGAAGGATAATTCAATTCTTACACTCTGTATCTCAGAAATGAACTCACGATCATATGTCTATTTATACTTGTTTTTTTCATTCTGACGTCGGCCAGATGCTCCTGACAATTCAAAACGATTTTTAGAAACAACCTGTATTATAGTCTGGCTAACTGAAGAAAAACAGTAAGAACTAATTGTTATTGTTTATCATTCAGTATTTCTGACTATTTGGTATTTTGCACGACCAAACAATGATACACCTTTGCGATGTGTGAAATGCTTCTGAATAATGGTCTAATTCATATATACATGAATTAAACTGTGAGCCTGCAAGATCAAATCAGCGAATTCTATTTTCGAAAAAATGTTCATGAGTTATTAACGATTCAGATAATAATTCAGCTCTCTGGAAAGTTTTCAAAATCTTTTCCACATCCGTCTATCAACTATAAAAATCAGTAAGAACTAATTGTTATTGTTTATTATTCAGTATTCCTGACTATTTGGTATTTTGCAGGTGGCCAAACAATAATACACCCTTGCGATATGTGGAATGCTTCTCAATAATGGACTAATTTATATCTACATAAATTCAACTGTGAGCCTGCAAGATCAAATCTGCGAATTCTATTTTCGGAAAAATTTTCATGAGCTATTAAGGATTTAGATAATAATTCAGCTTCCTGGAAAGTTTTCAAAATCTTTTCCACATCCGTCTATCAACTATTAGAATCAGTAAGAACTAATTGTTATTGTTTATTATTCAGTATTTCTGACTATTTGGTATTTTGCACGACCAAACAATAATACACCCTTGCGATGTGTGGAATGCTTCTCAACAATTGACTAATTTATATATACATGAATTTAACTGTGAGCCTGCAAGATCAAATCTGCGAATTTTATGTTCATGAGTTATTAACGATTTAGATGATAATTCAGCTTTCTGGAAAGTTTTCAAAATCTTTTCCACATCCGTCTATCAACTAGTGAGTTTTTGTGGCGAGTTCACGATATTAGTAGGTAAGGAAGAGAATAATGAAATCACAGATCAACAATCACATCAGTTTATAACATTACACTCAAAGATTTTCTACATATTTACAAAAACAAAAAATCAAAAATGGGCCTCTATCTCTTCGTCTTATACTGGATGAGAAGAAGTATCCAGTCATTCCGGTAACTTCTGCGTTCATGAACGGATTTTCCTCGAATTTGGTACAGTTATAGGGGCAATATTTCGAATACGATCACAATATGATAAACCTCTGGTCGTCCTGGAAATGCCAGTAATTTTGTTTCTTCAAATAAAATATACCCTATATACTTTTATATTTGAACTTGAATTGAAAATGTTTCTCATTCCATTTCTTGGATTGATAAGATGTGATCGAGACTTTCACAATGATTCCCACATACTTGACAAAGTGTCACCAGTGTATCAATTCAGTCGCATCACATTTTGATCATAGGGTCGTTCAATTCAAATTGAACCCATATGGACCACCTACATGTCTTTTAAGAACATTCATTGAGGAAAAAATCACATATAATCTTCATCTTCTGGTGCAGTAACAAATTATTTATAATGAAATTCTGCAGTTCCAATAGTTTGTCGAGAAAGCTATGAACAAGAACATTTCTGAATGTTGTCATTGAGACTGCACTTGTTTTGATCTTTATAAATCCGATATATAAAGAATTGGGTGGATAATTTGAAGAAACAATGTTGCTGACATTTCCAGAAGAACCGGAAGCTCGCCATATTCTATCAATCAATCAATAAATCCATTGTTCTCTAAAAACATTGCACTTTGATAAACAAAGAGTTCACACAAATATATCAGATTCCTCTAGATGTATACATATAAGTACCGGAGTTACATCAGGTATTTTGAAAGTTATGAACTAGCTACATATTTGGAGATGGGCATTATTTGTCTTATTCAAAGCAGTATACTAACGAGTCTATCGAAAACTAGAAAAGCGAATAAAATATTGAAAAACATAGTAACAGTAGCAAGTAGCAGTAAAAAATAGATCTGACCAAGACCAGGAAATCAATATAATTAGGATCAGATTATCTTACAGAAAGGAAACTATCAACATCAGTACTTCACTTACTCGTAATGAATGAACGAGGTTTGACAATATTAGATAAATGAACAGAAATGGAATTAGCAGAAGCAGGCGTTTTATTGGATTGTAATATGATCAAATCTGAAATGTTTGCTAATATGTTCCAAATGTCAGGAAAATCCGTTTACGAATACAAAAGTTACAGGGATGGCTTGATATCCTGTGCCACTCGGTATAAACCCTATGGAATGAACGTTCCTTCAAACCACTATCTATAATTCATCTCTCGAATCTTCTGCTAGTGGATCGTGCAGCACCTTTCTCCAGAACTTCTTTCTCTCTGCGTACAAATCAGACCTGACCCCAGAGGATTCGGCATGAATGAAGTAATACTCCCCATCTTCGGTGGAATAAGGTCGCCACCGTTGCTTGATGACATCATTTACCCCTGGTGAAGGGTCCCTAAGACGATAATAATGATATAATAATATGATAATCCACATTCATCTGATATCTGTATCTCAAAATATGAATAGCAACACCAACACGCGGATATACACCGTGTCCAAGCTAAAATGTCCCCTCTGTAAAAAGTCAACCGAATCGAATGACTTGAAATACTATTGAATGAATCGTAGGTATACAGGGTCACACCGAAGTGCACCTTAACTTTCTTATTTGAATAGGGACACCCAGTTTATTATCCCATATTCGAGTAGAGTTCATTATTACAAATTCATCAATGCTGGGTTTGATAGAATTTCTTCAAACGACTACGAAGATATGGCAACAAATCAAACGATTCAATAAATAATGTATATGAATAGTATTTATGAATATAACAGGATTGGAATCGAATGAAAAGAAAATGATTTGAACCTGAACTGCTCAATATTTCGTCCATTTTGCTGCAAACAGTTCCTAGATCTTTTGATAACGTTCATTGTGACCCTATGTATCACGTTGCGATCAATTTGTGACCATGAATTTGTGATTTTCTCTTCAATTTCTTCGATATCTACAATAATTGGCGACTCACAAAACTGTAGTTTCAAGTAACTCCACGAATTAAAATCAAGTGGGTGCGGTCTGGCGACCAAGTTGGCCAGTTGCTATCACCATCGAGACAATTGGTGGTTATAAGATATTTATTAATTTCTTCTCATTCGATTTCAATCGTGTTATATTGATGGAATCTAATCAAATAATTTTTTTAATGAATCGTTTAATTTTTTGCCATATCATTGTAGTCGTTTGAAAAAATCTCATATTACCCGGCATTGTTGAATTTGTAATAATAAACTCTACTCGAATATGGAATAATATACTGGGTGTCCCTAGTAGTATTATTCAACTAAAAATTGTTATAAAATCTCACGAGCAGTTTTTTTTCATTCAATATGAAAGAATAAATGAAAAATAATCACCCGAGAAATTTGTGTTATCATTACTTTCGCCACCCCAGATTCAGTCGCCGGTGAAAAGCTTATATGAATAATTCTTATTCAATCTGATGAAGCTCAAAAAGTTCAGTATCTGTGAACAATTTCGTCAATTTATCTACCGTTTCTAACTTCTGATAAAAATATATTCAGAAGCGTATTTTTGACACACAATATCTCAAAAACGAAGCGTTTAAAAGTATGTGTTCATAGGAAAGTTTTTTTATCATTCCAACGAGTACTATAGGCTGTTGAATTTTCCGAAATAAAACCAGTCTATCTACTAGGAAATTTGAACCAGCCATTTTGTGTTGGAAACAGTGATTGGAGTCATCAGTTATGTATCCAAGTGTGTTGGTGAAATAGTAAAACTAACACCCAATCCAAAAGATGAGGTAGACATACTTGCAACGTCAGGTATATACGAAATTAGTTGTGATGATTGTGGTATAACATATATAGACCAAACAAGGCGTTCTATCAAAACAAGTTTCGGAGACTACTCAGCACAATTGAAGTATGGTAGGATAGATAAATCGAGTGCAGCTGAGGACTTGTTCAATCACAATCGTATCACACATATCAAAAACCTCAAAGTTTAGCAAGTAATTGATGTTAGGATATGAGATTCATATAAAAGCTCACATACATTCAGAAAAAGTGAAAGAGTTATAAACAAGGATAATGGAAATATATTATTGAGCTCTCTCCATGGCTCAGTGATATGAGACCAAGGTTAACATGTGAACACAACCGTGACTAACATTTACTTGGCGGTGATTGTCTTTTACGGTTGGGTGGACATATGCCTATATAGTATATCAGTAGCACACTAGGATGAAGCATTTATTTTCAATCACCTCCTGAAGATGCATACATAGTTAGCAAAACACGTGTCGAGGTGTAAAAGATTGGTTTGGTTAGTGGCGAAAGAGTGTGTAGTATGGAAACGTGCCAAACGTTCTAATCTTTGATATATCAAAATTATATTGTGGCCCATACTAGATTTTGTTTATATTTTGTCCAATGTTCGATGTGTTGTGATGTAATGGAGTATCTATGATTGAAATATATCACCTGGTTCTCGCGAAATTCGTCCAGAAAGTGGTCATGAGTTTGGCGATTTTCTTGTCGCTTGCTGATGGGATGATATCTGGAAATAGTTGATCGCTAACAGGAAACAAATACTGAAGCTCGTCAGCATGAGCTACTCCTGAAAAAGAAGATAAATCGAATCAGTGAATATTCATTAGTCACAAGGTAAAATTACAATGAATCACGTAGAACAGAGATATAAAAATCAAATATGGAGAAAGAGATTCATGATTGAACTAGCCGAAAGTAACCAATCATGCTCAGCAAACATGTAACGCGCGGGCCTTTAGACGCGCTTCAAACACTGCCGACAGAAAACATCAGCGGGCCACAATCATAATACTTTGTTGGCGCGGCCAGCCCGTATCGCACTAACCGCAATTAGGCTGCCCGACTGTCTGCCGACAATATTCGGTTAGAAAATACAGGCTGATTTAAAAATAAGTGCATATATTTCAAACACTAAGAAAGCTTGAGGTATACTACCGAATGGAACTATCAAAAATATTATTAGGATCAAAATATATTTGGGGCAAAATACCCTTTTTCCGCCCAGGTTTCTACTTCTGTCACAACTATCGTTTGCGATCCGCAGTCGACCGTGATGAACGAAGCGACGTTGCCACTCTACATGAAAATTAGGAGATATTAAATAAAATGTATAATCGAGAAAATGTACATGGGGAAGAAGTTAACCCTGGTCTTGAATTTCAGAAAGATAAAATAAAAATTTCAAAATGGACTCACCCAAGATTTCTACACATAAGCTCGAACAGTGTATAACTTAACACCTCACGGTTGGAATTTCTTTTTACTGAAAAATCCTTTAAACCCTTCCTTCCACCTCCTTGCATCGCTACAATTTCGTGTCCTTCGAGGAGTCTCATGGGCCCCGCACAATAACGACCCGACATAAGAACCATATCATTCAGCTCAATGTTTGAGAAATGCATCGTCACATTTCAAGCAAATTGTCAGAAACAAAACTTTACATTAACTTGTATCGCGTTTTGACGTTTTCCAAAATAACATAAATTCTCAGAACAACAAACTGTCACGAAAGGATCTTTGTTTTGATTGTTCTAATGGTGTGCTACCAGCAAGAATTCAGATGACCATGAATTACTAATAGGCGACTTTTACGGATCAATCAGAAACAGCGAAGTAGTACCTGCGTGGTTGCGATTCATCCTGATTGGGCAAAGGTGATTGAGATTAATGTATTGGTGAGAAAGGATCATATCTTTGAATGAAACTACCATTTTCATAAAAAAACTAATTTGGAAAAAACATTTATAAGTTTAATTCAATGAAATAATACTTCCTCACTATACACTAATCTCACAAATAAAATCAGCTGTGTCCAATCACGATGAATCACAACCACGCAGGCGCTACTTTGCTGATTCTGGTTGATCCTAAGAAATCACCTATTAGTTATTCATGGTCATCTGAATTCTTGCGTCTGAAACGGTCAGAAGCATGCGCAGTTTCACAGAACTGTATGATTTTTTTGGGTTCTGTGAATTTGTGCATGCTTCTGACTTCTGACGGTTTCGGATTGTGCATTTTCTGAACGAGAACAATCCTAGTTGTTTCTGTCAAAGGTCACAGCAAAGAGGAAATCTATGGTCACAGATACTACTGTTCTGAGAAATGATGTTGTTGTTGTTTGTGTGGTCGCTGGTTTGTAGAATAATCGTAAACGTGAAATAAAAAATGAAATAATTGGATGTTGTGTCTTGTGTCGTGATAATCGTGATATGGTCGTGGTCGTGATTTTCAATGTGAGATTGCCAGGAAGGATATATCGTCGTCGAGTCGTTTTTGATGGTTTGAGTGCGAATATGAACCAACAAGAACACAGGACGATATTAGTCTGGAATGGACTCGATATTAGTATTTGTTTGCTCTCGGGAGTTTCGCTGTTCGAGCAGGTATGAGAAAATCTACTAGGTGAGTCGATTTTCAACTTTGTGTATGTTGTGTACCTATTTATTGTCTGCTAATTTTGTATCTACCCGCTGGGGCCTTATTTTCGAATTGAAGAAAGGGGGGCGTTCTATCATTCCCCTCATGTTTCTCTCCGTCTCTCGTGATCCATGGAGATAATCACCCCACAGTTCTCTAAGTAAACTTTGAAAAATAAGGCTCCTGTACATATTACATTCACCTCTATTAGTTTCCATAACCTATTTCAATTATAACAACTCTTTTGATATTTTGGAAAAGAAAAAGATTTTTACTTGTTATAGGCACGGCAGCTCGTTTGTTTGGGAGCAGGTCGTGAGTTAGTTCTTTTTTTAGGTAACTAGTGGGGTTATCCTTTTGTCAGGCGCCACTCAGTTTTCACAGCTGAATTACTGAGAAAAAAATCCAAGATTATAAGTATAAGCCAAAATAACTGTTAACAGATTTATTCACCTTAACATGTCAACAATAGGTATTCAGATGATGGTAAATATGTATTATGATTGTAACTCAGTACAAGGGTTGATTTCCCTTCATATAGGCCTATACTTTGGGTTCACAGAGTCTCTAACAGACCCAAAAATTCTATTATATATAAAATCCGATCTTAGACTGTTATGTGTTATTGACAAGTGTTCAAATATCTCATGACATTAGACAGTGAAAAATAACTATTTAAATGTCCTCAGACAGGGAAAAAAAATATGTAGATTAAATGTCCTCAGACAGTGAAAAAATATGTATGTTAAATGTCTTCAAGACAGGGAAAAAAAAGTACATGTTAAATGTCCTCAGACAGGGAAAAAATATGCAATTGAAATGTCCTCAAGACAGGGAAAAAAGTATATATGGAATATTCTGACCTTAGCTGCAAGTTCTGGATTTTGAACCATGAGATTCCAACTGTGGTCCAATAGATCTCACTACCTGGATGAACAAAGACACTCCTCCCTCAGTCGGCGGTAGGGGTTAGGTGTGCTAGGAAAACTGGATCCCCACACAGTTGACAGGATTCACAACCACCTGGAGACCTGGGCACTTGGTGTATCCCAGGGCAACTGGATTCTGCACTGCAACTCTGGCTGACGGGTCCACAGGCTGCCACCAGGGCAAGCTCTTCCTATCATCCAAGCTGGACCAGGACGTCTCACTATCTGACTGGGCTCTGGGAGTTCAGGCTCCAAAGTTACACAAATCCTAGGGATGAAGGATCATCAACCATACCAGGAGTCTGGACTCCCCTGGACTTCCTGTCAGAAGTCAGGATCACTGGCTATCTAAACCAGAGAAGGGCTGCTAGGGACTTGCACTGTTGGCAGCAAGGATTCTGCCAGAAATTCCAGGCTGTCGGGTCCTATAGATGCCCAGAGACATGCACAAGAAATCACCAGGGTCTTGCTTCCACCTTCAAGTGTGTTGGTGACTCAGGCTTCAAAGCACGAAGATCCCTCAGGTGCCTCAACCATCGAAAAAAGTGTCCACGTGATGTCCAAACAGTGAAGTCCAGAAAACAGTTCAAGATTTCTAAATGCCCATAGTTGATGAGATTCGATATTTAGTGATCCATCCAGTTAACAGTGTTGATTGGTAAAATTCAATTCAAGTCCAGAAACATAGCATGTGGTCAAAAGAAAATGGAGTTCAAATCATCCACTTGTCTGTACCCCCTGCTCCCCTGTATAAGGCCGTGATATCTGAAATGTAGATACCCTATCGAATATCATCCACACAAAAAGAGATTTAATATTTCTTACCTTCCTATCGGAAAGGCCTAACACAAAAGTAGGTGTCTACCACCTGACTTGATCGCACGAGAGCCAAAATCAAAAAGCGCCTCATTTTGGCTTCAGCACATGAAACCTTTTCGCAAGAGAAGGAATCAGCAAGAAGGATGAATAAACGGAAATTGCTCAAATAACAAGTTTCCGTCAATCAGAGCACTTGTGATCTATTCAAAAAAAATAATACAAACCAAAATCCGTCTCTGCGCAGTATCAATCTAGCCACCCAAATAATATGATTCAAGTCAAATTCAGGGATGCAACTTGAAAGAAATATTAAATATCGATCATGACATCGATAGTCGATACATTAGTCGATTCACCAGTCGATACAAAATTGCGAATATCCCTGCACCATTACAGGCCACTGCCACTAAACGCGACAAACAGTCTTCTACTGGCACGAGACTATGATGTAAACAACAATGTTCATGGGCGTCTGACAAATGTGTAAGGTTGGATAAGAAGTGGACTAACATAACCTAACTGTCATCCAGTCATGGACATTGAAAATGAAAACATTTAACAAGATGGAATTATGTAAAGTACCTCAAAACCTAGAAAAGAAATCATTGAGTTACGCAGTGCATCTCTACAAAGCTTCCCAATTACCTATTTTCCGAATTCACACCATGGAACACGAAAAGGCAAATTTTCATGTTACATTCACCCCCTTCCTCGGATATAAAAAATAGGCATTGAAAGATGACTATTTTTTATACTCGGAATCTATATGTACACACAAAAAATTCCTAATATTAAATTGAGCTCAATTTACCTATTTACTAATTCCTATCGTCTATGAATTGAGGCTAAGCTTAATTCAACCTACAATCTACCTTAACCTGTATCTACAATGGTATGTACAAATCACTTGCGTGATGTGTTCAGTAACCTCTTCATGATCATGATTCCTACTAATCGTCACATGCAGATTCCTCATCACTATGGATTGTGGAGACATCAGTAAGTGATCCATGATATGGTTTTAGATCCTGAACATGCCAAGTTCCGGCGTCTGAGCCATCTTGGTACTTCAAAACATACACTAGTTTTGATTTTTTCTTTGCTACCGTACAAAGAGTGTAGCGTGGAGCTAACTTTTGAGCAAAACTGTTAGCAGCATTTGAGAGGACCCGGTTCCTCTTCCAAACCTTGTCTCCTACGAAAAATTCTATGTCCCTCCTCCGTAAATTATAATATTTAGCATTCCTTTTGTATGATAAATTCAATTTATTTTGAACATCCTTAAAAATTTCAGATAAGTTACCTTAGTTCTGAGCCCATCGCTCTCTACTGGTTGTATCTAATTGTACCTCTCCTTTTCCATAATATTTTCCTGAACAGGGAACCTCACGTCCGAAAT